ACACACACACACACACACACACACACACACACACACACACACACACACACACACACACACACACACACACACACACACACACACACACACACACACACACACACACACACACACACACACACACACACACACACACACACACACACACACACACACACACACACACACACACACACACACACACACACACACACACACACACACACACACACACACACACACACACACACCAATCACCCACGCACACACGCGCACGTTGAATGCCGGTGCGGCTCCTGTCGTCTAGACGTGGAGTCGCGAGGGACCAGCCTGGCCCTTGCCCCACCACCTCGTGTGTGTGGAGACGTTACCTGACCTGACCTTACCTAGGTGACTGGCTGGGTCAAGCTCGCCGAGTCGCCTCTGTTCCCCGGCCCAGGTGCCCGAGATTGCACCGAGATTGCTCGAGATGACACCCGAGATTGCCCGAGATGAGTCCCCCCTCTTCCCCGGCCCAGGGGGAGACCGGCGGCTGCGCGACTACCAGCTCGAGGGCCTCAACTGGCTTCGCCTCAACTGGTCCCTCGGCCGCAACGCCATGCCCCTACATCAGGAGTGCGCGGAGGCCGTCCGTGTCTGCATCTAGGTACCTCGGCCGCAACGTCATCCTCGGCGACGAGATGGGCCTCGGCAAGACCGCGCAGACGGTCGCTCTGATCCAGACCCTCCGCACGATCGAGAAGCTCAACGGGCCGTTCCTCATCGTCGTCCCGCTCTCGACGATCACGCACTGGGAGCGCGAGGCGGCAGCGTGGACCGACGCGTACACGGTCCTCTTCCACGGATCTGCCGACTCACGGCGCGTCATCCTCGAGCACGACTGGGCGGAGCCGGCGCTAAATTTATTTAATATTATTTAATATTTAATATTTTAAAAACAATTAAAGAACAGTTTAATACAAAATAGAGATTCCATACATCTAGGCGCCGCGCGGGCAGGTCAAGTACCGCTTCCACATCGTCATCACGACCTACGAGACCGTGGTGCAGGACCCAGAGCCCCTCTCGCGCGTACGGTGGACGTACCTCATCGTCGACGAGGCGCACCGCCTCAAGAACCTTCCGGGAACCTTCGAGGAACCTTCGAGGAACCTTCGAGGAACCTTCGAGGAACCTTCTAGGCGCACCGCCTCAAGAACCGCCACTCCAAGGTCATCGAGGCGATGCGAGAGCTGCGCGCGCGGCGGCGGCTCGTGCTGACGGGCACGCCGCTGCAGAACCACATCTCGGAGCTCTGGTCCATCCTCCACTTTCTCGACGCGAGCAAGTTCGACGACCTCGACGACTTCCTCGAGCGGTACGGCGCGCTCTCCGCGGGCAACGGCACCGTCGGGCAGGTCAATCGGCTCAACAAGCTGCTGCGGCCGCACCTGCTGCGGCGCGAGAAGGCGGACGTGGAGAAGAGCCTGCTCGCGCTGCAGGAGACGCTGCTCTTTGTCGAGATCACGAACCTGCAGAAGCTCTGCTACCGAGCGTGCCTCGAGCAGAACCGCGAGCTGCTGCTGCGCGGCGTCGGCTCGCAGGGCGGCGGCCACGTCACCTTCAACAATGTGTCGATGATGCTGCGACACTGCTGCAACCACCCGTGGCTCATCCGCGAGATCGAGGAGTCTGCGCTCGAGCAGCTGCAGCACGAGTCGGAGGTGCGCGAGCCGCAGTCGCTGCGCGAGCACAACGACGAGGCGTACTGGCGCGAGCTGCGGCGCGGCATGGAGCGGGCCGACAGCGAGCGCTACATCGCCCGGCTCGTCGAGTCCTCGGGCAAGCTCGTCCTGCTGTCCAAGCTGCTGCCCAAGCTGAAGGAGGACGGCCACCGCGTCCTGCTCTTCTCGCAGTTCACAAAGATGCTCGACCTGATCGAGGACCTCGTCGAGGCGCTAATTAACACTACTTAAGTAACACGAATTAACACGAATTAACACTAATTAATCGAGGACCTCGTCGAGGCGCGCGGCTGGGGGTACGAGCGGCTCGACGGCGCCATCGGCGGCAAGGAGCGGCAGCAGGCGATCGACCGCTTCTCGGACCCGATGTCGGGGTCCTTTCTCTTCATGCTCTCGACGCGCGCGGGCGGCGTCGGCATCAACTTGACCGCCGCCGACACGATCGTCATGTTCGACCCGGACTGGAACCCGCAAAACGACGTGCAGGCGATGGCGCGCTGCCACCGGCATCGGGTGAATGGGTCGTCAACTCATTCGTTCATTCGTGATGACAGGCGATGGCGCGCTGCCACCGGATCGGCCAGACCAAGCCGGTGCACGTGTACCGGCTCTGCACCAAAGACACGTACGAGATGCACATGCTCAACACGGCCAACCACAAGCTCGGCCTCGAGCACGCGGTGATGCGCTCCGCCGGCTCGGGGTACGACGCCAAGCCGATGACCGCCACGGGCTTTGCGAAGTCGGAGAAGCTCGACGAGTCGACGGTCCGGCAGCGCGCGACGCAGATCGAGCGGCTGCTGCGCACGGGCGCGCAGCTGCTGCTCAGCGAGGAGCAGGACGCGCAGGCAAAGGCGTACGGAGAGTCGTCGATCGAGCAGATCCTCGACCAGTACGCGACCACCCGCACCGTCGGCGGCGAGGAAGGCGCTCGGCCCACCGCCGAGGGCGGACACGGCGGCGGCGGCGGCGGCGCTTCCGGCGGCGGCGGCGGCGGCGGCGGCGGCGGCGGCGCCTCCTCCTCGTTTGCGCACGCGTCCTTTGTGTCTGAGTCTGGCACGTCGGTCGACATGGACGACCCCGCCTTTTGGGCGAAGATGCTGCCCGAGGTGCCGCAGCTGGCGGCTGCCGCCGACGCGGCGCGCGGCGAGGCGGTGGTCGCGGCGACGGCTGCGGCGGCGAGCGGCGACTCGAGCGGCGTCACGCCGTGGCGCCCCTTCCGGCAGGTCAAGGCGGCAGAGGACGGGCTCGACAGGCTCAAGAAGGCGCGTAGCCGGAAGCGGCCGCGCGACCGCTCGGCCGACGACGACGCGCCCGGCCCCAAGCGGCGGCGCAACGGCGCGTGGACGGCGACGGAGCTCGGCGATCTGGTCGACCTCTTCCTGGAACCTTCTAGGAACCTTCGAGGAACCTTCGAGGAACCTTCTAGGCGATCTGGTCGACCTCTTCCTGGCGCACGGCGCCGCGCGCGCCGCGGAGCGCGCCGCGTCGGAGACGTCGCGCGGCGTGCTGCCGAGCAAGAAAGCGAGCGACTGGCTGCTGGCGACCGCGCTGCTGCACGCGAGCCCGGCGCTCCGCGCCGAGTGGGGCGCCGTCAGGCTGCACGTGAGCGGGCTCGCGGCCACTTCTCCGTCCGCCCGTCCCGACGCCGAGCCGCCGCGCGACGCCGAGGGAGGGACGGCGGCGGTGGCAGAGGCGGCAGAGGCGGCGGCGGCGGCCGAGGCGGCGGCGGCGGCCGAGGCGGCGGACGCGGCCGAGCCGGCGGACGCGGCGGCGGAGGGCGCGGCGGCGACGGGGGGCGGCGGGGGCGTCGCGCCGTTTCCCGGCCCGTTGCCGCCGCCGGGCGAGGTGCGGCGGCCCGAGCTGGTTGGCAAGGTGAAGCGCGCGCTGCAGCGGCTGGAGCTGACGCAGAAGCAGCTCTGCGCGCAGCTGCAGCTCTCGATGGTGAACTTCTAGGAACCTTCTAGGAACCTTCGAAGTACCTTCTAGGCGCGCAGCTGCAGCTCTCGATGGTGAACTTCTCCAACTGGCTGGGGCAGAAGCCGTTCGTCGCGAGCCGCGAGCCGCTGTACACGTCGGCGCTCCAGCTCTGGCTCAGGGACCCCTCCTTCACCATCACCGACCCCTCTGTCACAAACACGCCCGCACACCTAGTGCCGTCCGGCGAGCCGGCGGCGCTCGGCCGGCCGCCGAGGGCCGGGGTTGGGCGGGGGAGGGGGTCGCACCTCAAGGGGCCGAGAGTGACGGAGCTGCCGAGGGACGACACGGCGCTCCTCCACGCGCTGCGCGAGGCGGCGGCGCGGCTCACGCCGCCGTGCGACGACGACGAAGCCGGCGGCGCGGCAGAAGGCCTCGCCGCCGCGGCCGCGCGTGTCTCGACGCCGGATGCGGTTCCTCGCCTGCTGGGGCTGCGCGCGCTCGACGAGGCGATGGCGGACGGCGACGGCGCGGACGCGCTCCCGCCCCTCCCCGCCTGGCCCGACGCGCCCCGCTGGTGGGACACCCTCTGCGACCGCCGCCTCCTGCTCGGCCTGGCGCGGCACGGCTTTGGGCGGTGGGGCGACCTCCGCGCAGACGCGTCGCTCGAGTGGCCGGCCGCCGCCTCGCCGGCCGCCGCCTCGCCGGCCGCCGCCTCGCCGGCCGCCGCCTCGCCGGCCGCGCACGCGGCGGAGGCGCACGCGGCGGAGGCCGGCGAGGAGCCGCTGGCCGCCGACGGCGCGGCTTCCCTCTCGTGGCCTTCCGACGAGGGGCTGCGGGTCCGCGCTCAGCTGTTGCTCGAAGGCGTGCGCGAGCAGCGGCGGCAGAGCCGCGCCGGGGCGGGCGCGGACGCGTCGGGCCCGGCCGAGGAGGAGGAGGAGGAGGAGGAGGAGGACGAGGTGATGGAGGTGGACGGCTCCGCGCCCGAGTCGTAGGGGAAGGCGGGGGTGCATGTTGAGAGGGCGGTTTGCACGCACAATCACAGCGCCACCTGTGTGTGACCGAGGAGCGCTTGCTCTCGGTGGTGGTGGGGAGAGGGTATGTTCGAGATCAGAAGTTCTGCAACAGAAGGAACCAAGAAAATGTCCGTCCGGTTAGCGTGCGTGCGGGGGCGCGCGGCACGATGGAATTGGGGTTGTGCGTGTCTCGCGCCTTGAAGCGCAAGCGGAGAATCGGAGATAGCCGCGCAGCGGCTATGTAGGTTATCCGACAACGCGAGGAGAGGAACCGACAAACCCGAGCCACCGTGAGGGGAACCGTGACTCAATCGTCACCAAACTATTACGTTCCGCGCGCGCGCTGAACGAGTGTTTGTCGGACCCTCGCGCTTCTAGGCGCCCGAGTCCTCTTCCGCCGCCACAGCCCGGCCTCGAGCTCACGACAGCTACCCAGGCAGAGGGGAGCATCGAGTAACAGAGCGGGTTACGAGTGCCCGGCTGGAGATTTTGAACACGGGAATGCCATGTGCCTGCTGAGCCTGAGGGCGGCCGACGGGGCACAAAATGAAAGCCACGACCGCGGTATGACGGCAGATCCTTTGCTCGCCATCGGCGTGATCCTGGGGCCAGGAGGGTCCCTCAGTGCCCTCGGATTTCGCATGGCCGGCCCAGTGATTCCCTCAGTCGTATGGCGGTGGGTGGTCACCCGAACCTACGCCGGCGCGTCCGCTGACAGAGCAGCACCTAGTGGCGCCGTGCGCGGAGCAGCTCGACGCACACGCATCAGTCGGAACCGACCGCTTAGCAAGCGGGCGCGCCCGGGAGGCTTGGAAGCAAGCGGCGTGCGGGTGCAAGACGGCGTGGTGGTTCATTCGCGCACTCGAGTTGTTCCCGACGGCAAGGTTTGTTGCAAAAGCGGAGGACGACACGGTGCTGCACACCGCCCTCCTTCTCGCAGAGACGGCGGCCGCGGAGCGGCTCTCTCGCTCGTCTGGTACTCGCTCTTCCAGTGGGTGTCAGATCAGCCGGCCCGGTTCTGCGGCGATTTCCACAGCTTCGGCGCTCGCCACGCCTTTCCCTTTCTTTGCCAGTGGCGGCCTCGACCTCCGCAGCCGCGCACTAGTCAAACGGACAAAGTCTTGCCTGCTGGATCTTCACCACCACCAGACGAAGCACGACACAGAGACTCTTACTTTAGGATCGCGGTAGAGAGGTGTGGTGACAGCGTGTTGGATGCGTGCAAGCCGCAGCGCAAACCTCACATTGCAACGTCGAGCTACGAGCAACGGCAACGCCATATCGAGAGGCAGAGGGGCTGCACCTCCGAGGAGCCGTGCGAAGCACCTCACCCAAGCCCGCTCCTCAGACCAGATCGAGAAGGCTGCGCTGGCTGCGGGTCGACCGACGCCTGCGCTGCCCGCGCCGCCCGCGTGCGCTGCCGCTTCGCATTGACGCGCTTCTGGCGCCACAGTGCGCTGCTGCTATGCGCATTGCAGTGCGCTGGCGCGTCGCCGCCCCGCCAGTGGCGGCACTCGGACACGGGCGCGTCGCACGCGAAGCAGTAGCAGTTGGGGCAGGCCGCCTCGTTGCCATCGAGCGGCGCCGCGACCGGCCTCTCGGCCGCATGGAAGGGGTGGAGCGGGCAGAGCGCCCGCTGGTGCGGCAGGTGCTCGGGCAGCAGGCCTGTGCGGCGCAAGCAAGGGAGTGAGTGAGGACCATCTCACGTTGACTATTGACTGATGCCGAACCGCCTGAAGCGGCAGAGATCTGCACGTCGCCGCCTTCCAGCAACGGAACAGCAGCGGCGGGGCCTTGAGGCGGCGGCGCCACCTCCTCCACCCCGTCATCGTCGCTCATCGGCTCCTCCTCCTCCTCCTCCTCCGCCTCCGACTCCTCCTGCTCCACCTCCACTTCCACCGCATGGTCCTCTCCCTCCTCCCCCGCCGCCTCGCGTTGAACGCTCGCGTCGGGCGCAGAGGGCGCGGCGTCGCTCGAGGATGACAGCGCGTCGCCGCCGCCGCTGCTGCCGCCGCCGCCGCCGCCGCCGCCGCCGCCGCCGCCGCCGCCGCCGCCGCCGCCGCCGCCGCCGCCGCCGCCGCTGCTGCCGCCGCCGCCGCCGCCGCCACCAGCTCGCCTCGCACTCTGCTCCGCGTCTGTCGCTCCTCGCGCCCGCTTCTCCCTGACGGCACGCCCGCCCGCCGCCGGCGCCACCGCCTCCCCCACCGCCCTCGCGTACGCCACCGCCGCCTCCGCCGCCGTGGCAAAGGTGCCAAGGGAGACATCCTTTCCGTCCATCTTGTGCCGTGCCTGGAAGCGGCCAGAGGCCTGCTTGCGCACACACATGTAGCCGGTGCTGCTGCTCGAGAGGTGCAAGCGCAAGCCCTCCGCCTCCGCAGCCACTGTCGCAGGCTGATACTCGCCCGCCGCCCGCGCGTACGCCACCGCCGCCTCCACCGCGGTGCCGAAGGTGCCGATGTAAACATCCTTGCCATCAACCCTGCACCGCGCCCCGAAGCGGCCAGAGGCCTGCTTGAACACGCCCATGTAGCCGGTGCTGCTGCTGCTGGAGAGGTGCAAGCACAAGCCCTCCGCCTCTGCCACTGTCGGAGGCTGGTACTCGCCGACCGCCCTCGCATACGCCGCCGCCGCCTCCACCGCCGTGTTGAAGTAGCCGAGGTAGGCATCCCGTCCGTCCACCCTACGCCGCGCCTCGAAGCGACCAGAGGAGCGGTGCTTGCTTACGCCACTGCAGCCGGTGTCATTGCTGCTCGACAGGTGCAAGCGCAAGCCCTCCGCCTCCGCAGTGCTGTTGTTGCTGGAGGGGTGCAGCTGCAAGCCCTCCGCCTCCGTCGCCGCCTCCGCCTCTGTCGCCACCTCGTCGTCGCTTGACGCTTCCGCCCCCTCCACCTCCGCCTCGACCTCGTCCTCTCCCTCCCCCCACGCCGCCGCTGGCTGCTGTTGGCTCGCGTTGGGCGGCGAGGGCGCGGCGTCGCTCGAAGAGGATTGCTGCGCGCCCCTGCCGCCGCCGCCGCCGCCGCTGCTGCTGCTGCCACCGCCGCCGCTACCGCCGCCGCCGCCGCCGCCCACGCCCTTGCCTCGCTTCGCCGTTCGCGCCTTGTCGGTAAGAACCCGCGCCCGCTTGCCTGTGACGGCGGTGCTGCAAGGCCCCTCGTGCCAGAGGCGGAGGCTGCAGCCGAGCGTCTTGTTGCAGCTCGGAGCGCGGAGGGGCGGAGAGGCAGCCTCCTCCTCGTCGCTGCTGCTCTCGGCGACTGCAGCCTCGCCGCCAGCGCCGCCTGGCGTGCCCTCGCCCGAGTCGGACGCCTCAGCCGCCGCCGCTGCCGACGGCCGTGCCTCTCCTGCCGCCGTTGGAGCTTCCACCATCGCCCGCGCGTACGCCACCGCCGCCTCCACCGCCGTGCTGAAGGTGCCGAGGCAGACCACCCTTCCGCCCCCCCTCTGCACCGCCCGGAAGCGGCCAGACTGCTCGTACACGCCCCTGTACCCTGTGCTGCTGCTCGAGAGGTGCAAGCGCAAGCCCTCCGCCACCGCAGCCACTGTCGGAGGCTGGTACTCGCCGACCGACCGCGCGTACGCCACCGCCGCCTCCACCGCAGTGTCAAAGAGGCCGAGGTAGACCATCTTGTCGCCCACCCTGCGCTGCGCCACGAAGCGGCCACAGGCGTGCCGCCACACCCCTTTGTAGCCGGTGCTGGTGCGGCTCGAGAGGTGCAAGCGCAGCCCCTCCGCCTCCGCCGCCGGAGCCTCATGGCTAGACGTGGCCTCCGAGCCTGCTGGCGCTGCCATTCCGGCCGTCGCCTCCACCACCGACTCCGACTCGTCGCCGTCCTGTGTCGACGCACCCTCGCCGCGCTCCTCCGCCTCGGCATCGGTCGGGTCGAACGGGCGCTTTACGCAGCGAGCCCGCTTGCCCTGTAGAGTGAAGGAGTGCGGCCCGGCGTGGCCAGCAAGTAGGACGCATCCAGCGGCGCCGCCGGCGCGCTCGTGCGTGCGGCCACAGAGGATCGCCTCGTCGGCAGGCTCGGCGGGTGGCACGCTTTTGGGTGCTGAGGCCGCCACTGCCGACGCCTCGCTGATGGCCCGCGCGTACGCCTTCGCCGCCTCAACCGCCGTGTCGTAGGTGCCGACGGAGAACAGCCTTCCGGCCACGCTGCGCTGCGCCTTGAAGCGGCCAGAGGGACGCTTGCACACGCCCTGGTAGCCGGTGCTGTTGTTGGACAGGTGCAAGCGCAAGCCCTCCGCCTCCGCAGCCACTGGTGGAGGCTGGTACTCGCCTTCCGCCCGCGCATACGCCACCGCCGCCTCTACCGCCGTGCCGAAGGTGCCAATGTAAACGTGCCTTCCGCCCCCCTGGTGCTGCGCCCTGAAGCGGCCCGACGCCTGCTTTCCCACGCCCTTGTACCCAGTGCTGCTGCTGCTCGAGAGGTGCAGGCGCAAGCCCTCCGCCGCCGTCGCGACCGCTGCCCCGTGAGGCTCGGATGACGCCCGCCCCGCCTCGGACGCCGCGAGCGCTTCGCTCCGTTGCGCCTGCGGCATCAGTTCTGTGCGCGCAGAGCCAGCCTCGCCCGCCGCGGTCCTCGTTGGGCTGTCGTGTCGTCCTCGACAGTCGTCCGTCCCATGCTCAAGTATGAACCGCGTGGAATTGTTTTTTATTCTTTTTGCGATGTTCTCCCAGATAGGTAGGTAGGTTGGTCTTGTTTGGCCCAAAAGGGCCCTGCAATAGGTAGGTACCCCCTATTTTCATCTTTTTTCGCTTCGCTGCGCGGCCTGGGGATAGGTGGGTAGGTAGGTAGGCGTTTTGGCGCGAGTCAGTGGGTCAGACCCCCTATCCGGGTAGGAGCCGCGAACCTGGCTTCCTTCCGATTTGCATCATGGGCAACAGCCCTACGAAACTCAGCCAGCGGTTGGAGCGCGCCGAGAAGACGGGCGTCCTCGCGCTGCGTGACTGTGGCCTCGAGAAGGTGCCGGACCGCGTCGTCAGCGTGGCGGGCTTACGCGTGCTCGACATGTCGCACAACAAGCTGACCTCGCTGCCGAGCTCCCTCTCGCGGCTGGAGGGCCTCAAAGACCTCAGCCTCGACGCAAACAAGCTCGCCTCTCTGCCCGCACAGATCTGCATGCTGCCTCGGCTCGAGACGCTCTCGGCGCCGTCGAACGACCTCACCTCGCTGCCGGGCGCGATCGGCTCGCTCGTCAAGCTGCGCAAGCTGGTGCTGACAGGGAACCGGCTGACGGCGCTTCCCGACAGCCTCTGCGCGTGCTCCTCCCTGCAGCTGCTCGACGCATCGCGCAACAGGCTCGCGCCCTTGGATGCGGGCGCATCCTGCCCTCAGGCCCGCTGCACACGCCCCTCTCGGTGTGTCCACGACGTAGGCTCGCTGCCCTGCCGGAGGCGCTCGGCCAGCTCGGGTCGCTGGTGGAGCTGACCCTCGCGGAGAACTGCCTCTCCGCCGTGCCCGCCTCCACGGGATCGCTGAGGCGGCTCAAGGACCTCGACTTGCGCGGCAACCCTCTCGAGGGTCTTCCGGCCGGCCTGCTCACCGACACGCCGCTGCAGCACCTGCAGCTCGACGAGAGGCTGCTCGCCAAGGACGGCTCGCTGCGGGAGGACGTCGAGGGGCGCGAAGCGTACGCCGCGCGCCGCAAGGCGAGAATCGACAAGGAGCTGCACGGTAAGGCGACTGGCGGAGACGTCAACTTCTCCTCGTGAGCCCCTGATAGCACGCCGGCCGCCGCGCCTCACCCGAGGGGCGCGCCGGGGCTATCGACGTCGGCACGGAGCCACGGCGCGCCGCCCGCGCACGTGGCTCAACACACTCGCACAACGATGCGTTATCTGTTCATATTTCTTGTATTTTATTACGCGTTTTCAGTTTCACTTTCTTATTTTTCTCGTCTCTTGGGTCTTGTTTTTCTTGTTAAGCAATGAGGACATGAGCGCCCTCGATGTATTGTCAAATGTATGTGGGGGGGGACGGCTCTATGCCAGAAGCGCTCGCGACCCCGCCGTCGCGTCAGGACACCATCAGCTGCAGCGCGTTCCTAGCCCGCCTTTTTCCTCACACCTGACCCTCCTAGCGCGTCGAAGATGGCCGCGTGCTGCGAGATGGCCCGCCCGCGACCCCGCCCCGCCGCCCCCTCGCGCGCCGCCGCCTCTGCGTCCTCGGGCCGGAAGCTGCTCACCCGGCGGTTCATGTAGGCTGGCATCGAGGAGCGTGGCGAGCCGCCGCGCGCCACGCCCCCACCGACGCCGCAGATAGACCG